GTTTGCTTCCGATTAGCATTTATTTACTGCTGTTTGCTTGCGGTTAGCATTTATATACTGTTTGCTTGCGATTAGCTTTTACTTGCTGCGGTTTGCTTGCGTTAGCATTTATTTACTGCTGTTTGCCTGCGGTTAGCATTTAAGGGGTGAAGGGGAAGGCGACTAAATGTGCCCTACCATGAATTATGCGCCGGCAGACTGCCAATAAGGTACGCGAAGATGGCGCTCAGCTAAATAATTTATACTTGGGCAAGCATGAATGTTTCTCGGCATTTCACTGTCAGGTAAACAAGCCTCCCCTGCTTGCTGAGAGGCTCTCTTGCTTATATATTCAGTGGTGCGCATATATGGATGCAATATGCAAAGAGTGTTTGTGGAAAAATTGTGTCTTCGCACCGAAATTTCTTTTTCAGCGTGGGGAAATAAAGGGTTCGAAAACCTTCTTTAGGTTAATTTTGCCCAAAAAAAAAATGATTCCCCACGCAAACAATGCACCAACTTTCCATTAGTGATGTTAGAATGATGCTGATTACCGGGAAAATTGGGAAAGCACACAAAGTTCGTAACTTTTTCTGTTTACACGAGCGGCGAAATTCCCGCCATTTTTCTAAACTTGGAGCCTGGCGCGGGGCCAAAACTCGCGCATGCTTATGACGTTTTTCCGCTCTGAAATTCTCACTAGTAAAGATATTGATGGCGTCATTTCCTGCTATTTTGTCTATGTAAGTAAAAGAAAATTGCACGGTGGCCTGAAGATATGGACTGTATTTTCCAGTGTTAAACCCAATATTTCACTCGCTACGCTCGTTTGTAGATTATTCTTTCACCTCACATTTCCGTCGACAAGCATCTCTGTGTGTGGTAAAATACGACAAGTTCAGTTTGCACTCGGCGAGACTTAGTTGTTGCTAAAAAAAAAAAGCCGACTATAGTTAACTAATTTTTCAAGATGTAACCTTACTGTCAAGGAAACACTTTGCATGAAGTTTGTCGAACACGTGATAAAATAAAATGTTTCGTTTCAAGAGTTCGAGCTGAGGAACTTGTTCTTTATTGGTATGCTTGCTAGGTATTCCCTGAAACGTACCTGTGTTATATATTCCCAATGTTTAACACTGAGTGGCAAAATCATTAACGTTGCGAGCTACCGATATTGACAACATAAGACAATTTTTTTTATATATACTGAAAACCACTGTTACTTTGTCAATAATAAACGCGACAGTTTTGTCAGTACCAACCCGTGTAACTGTAAGAATGTATTTTATAAGAATATTGAGGCCGAAATTTACGAAATTTTAAGAATAAACCCGAGGCTGATATTTTGAAAAGAATACAATTTTTTGTGTGTGGAAAATTTATAAATACAATACAATTACATGTTTTTACTAAACCGATTAAATTTCTTCCTTTCTCGAATTGGAAAAACTAGACTAAAACCAATAAGCTCTACAGAAAATGATATGTGTCATACCAGGTTGTAATCTAAGAATATTCAGAAGAATATTTTTAGCCTAAAAATGGCAAAAAAAAATAAGAATATTCAGCCTGGAACGGAAAAACAATATTCTTATAAGAAAAAAAACGAGTGTATTCATCGACAACTGCGCGTGCATATTTCTGTTGTCAGTGGTTTCCATAAAAGATAATTTGGCGTCTTATACTGAGCTTTTTTTGTAGAAATTATTTTCGAAAACTTCTAGTTACTGAGGTCCTTACTAACTATTGTTTTGTAAAACATAGAAAAGTCTTAAGTTATGGAAACATAAATGGTAGACTTCAATCTACACTGTCTAAGTGGCACCACAAATGTTGAAAAAAAAAAAAAATGTTGTGCTGTCAAGATGAAAACTGTCAAACTTTGATACCAGCTCTGTGTTTCTCCTAAAAAGTTTAGGTCACTGGAGGGATTCGGAAACTTTTCCGGAAGAGTAATTTGTTAGTTAGTGCCAAACCCGGCTGTTGCTATACCAACTGTGCTTGATTATAACTCATGACACGTTGTTTTTAGCACACGGCTATGTAATTTTTTCACATTTCATAATTCGAACGTATTCATCTCGGAATGCCTTGTTCATGAGCCCGTAAATCAACGGATTCGTCGCAGTGGTTATAAACAGCAGGTAATCGTACATCAGATGGGTCCATCGTGGCAACGCAATGTCACAAACATACAGTGCTCCGATGATGCAGACGGGAATCCACAAAAGGCAATTTACAGTGATGATCGCAAACACCATTTTAGTAGCGTTTATCTCGTCTACTCGGCATGTGAAACTGTTTTTATTTTGCCGGTGAAGCGCCTCGGCCCTTAAATTCGGACAAACTAAAATGACGTGACGGCGAACGACTCTGTAAACCTTGAAATAGCAGAAGATGACCACCATCAGTGAGATTAGTATGAAAGCCAGAAATATGGGCAAGGAGATGGTTTTCTTCAATAGTCTGTCAGTAAAATTGGGGGTGCAGAAGAAGTGTGGACCAAACTGAAAATTTGCTGTCATTACAAACATCATTCCCACGGCCACAAGGACAGACAAGAATAGACATGCTGCAGTGATGATTATTGTTAATCTCTTTGTGAAGAATTTTCGATAAAGAATAGGCCTCACAACTCGATAATATCGATTCACGGCCGTCAGTGCCACGATCGTCAAAGAAAAACACGCCCACACCTGTATCACGTGACCTTGGAGTTGGCATATGACGTCACTGTACAGCCATTGTCCTTTAATGGAGGCGCCCAGCGACAGAGGAAAACAGGTGACTGCCACAACCAAGTCGGAAATTGCCAAGCTTAAAATGTACCAATTTGTGATTTTTCGAAGTGCTGGGTTTCTTGAAATGGCGACGATGACAAATACGTTTCCAACAATTGCCGTGGTATTTATGATGATAAATAAAAATGATTCAACAATAACTGCGGAAAAACTACGATTCGAAATGGTAGCGCCAACTGATGTTCCAACTGTCATTGTGTTAATTTGGGAGAACAAACTTCCGTCTTGTGAAATTAAGGAAAAGTATAATATGTTTCCCAAGTTTCCTTTCTTTTTTTCTTGTTAGTCTCGGCTCTGCAAACGTGTTCTGCTTTTTCGACTGAGCGTATGGAAGACCACCACACAACGAACGCTGCTCTCGCAAATATCTTGCATTGACTAGTCTCTCGTGACGGTGAGTTTATCTTGTTCTGCCATCATTGACGAGATGGTGATAAGAGAACTTTGCAAGGAAGTACTGAATTACTTATGTCCCATGTGGGACTTGGATACAAACAAGAGAAACAAGGCAATAACAATACCTCATCCAAAATTACTGGAACTACAAAGCAGTGAATCTAATCTACGCTATTGGCAACACATTCAGCTCTTCGCTTTTGTCCAAAAGTGTCATTTCTGTGTTATTTATAATTCAATAAAGAGGAACCATCTAGACCCACAAAGTTTACTCATGTCAAAACAAAAGACACCTTATTCTGTCAGTTCGATTAGTCCTGACGTGTTACCTTGACACGAGAAAAAAGTCAATTTAAGCCTCATAATTTAATCATTTTAATTAAAACTCCTGTCGAGTGAATAACTTATAACAGAATACAGGTGGATCTTCGAAACCAAATGAAAAAGCCAACACCCTAATTTGACCACAGTTTCTTTTTTTCCAGGTCTTTTACTCTCCAAGAAGGACTGTTGTTGACTAAAAACGATCAACTTACGAATGCCAAAATTAGACATCTTGGGGAATGTTTATTTTTGCCTTTATCACTATTATCATCAGAACCCGATGTCAATATAAAGCTTCCTGACGGGAAATTACTTTTTAGTCATAAAATTGTTATAGTTTTTTTAAGATGTGAACGAGAAAGGCCACGCTACATTAATAGAATATGAATTGTATCTTGATCTCATTGTCAAAAATTAGAATTGGGTTATTGAATTTCACTAGAAGCTATAAAACATGAATAAGACTAGTAATAATAAAAAGAAAAGAAATTGTCTCATTGCGAAAGAAATAAAATAGTTTTAAATTTCAAAGGAAAAGACGTAGGCTTTAATTAAAACTTCACTTCCGAAATAATCCAATTTCTACCCTTGGAAAAATTCGTATTTATTTCGCGTGTAGATAGGTTTTCGCTTTGGTTAAGAAGTCTCAGAGGCTTTCGAGTGATAAGAACGAAAATATTAGTGTACATTATGGGGGAAACCGTTTTTTCTTTCTGTTTTTTTTAAATAGTGAATAATAATATAAATTGCAACAGCTGATCTACATCTTATGAATAAAATATTTTGTTACTGTAACAGTGAATATATAAATGATAAGAAGTGGAAATAGAGAATATGTTGACGTTAGGGAGCAAGTCATGATCTATTGGCAAAAAAAACATAAAGAAAGTGCTTCAGCATATTCATATTCAGCAAATTATATTTACTGTCCTTTATTCGGCGCTGAAATCCACAGCAGCAAAACCTGGGTCTATTTTGGAGTCCCGATGGCATTTAATTCCAGTTTCCACAGGATAGAACTAACCTTCCTCGCCTAGATGGGATGTTATTCAATTATAGGTTTTACACATCTTAACAGCTCGCTATTTCCCGCTCATACTCTTCGGTGGAAAGGGACATGGTGAGAGTAAGGTGCCTTTTCAAGGATAAAAATGACAAGGGTACTAGCAAGGTTCGAAGTAGCCTGACCCATCAAGGGCCCTGCGCCTTGTAAAGCGAGCTGCTACCTTGGAAACCCCATTCAGCAATTTTCCCTCTTCAATTTGAATACTAATCCTTACGTTGACTGCCCCGTTGCTAAGGTTACGTGTGGTGCTAAGAAGTTGAACACGTTGGAGTTAATTTTGATGGTAAAGTTGATTATTCTCATGATTTGTATGACACTCGGCTTGGTTAAGACTTTCTCTATTACAATCAAACAGTAGCTCTATCAAAATTCTGAAAACACTGAAGCAACCTCTGCCATTTTCGCCATCCAATCTCCAAACAAAACAGCACTAACACCACACAGCTGTAGCCAAGCTTATTCATCTTGCCGTCAGTATTTTGGGCGCGCAATTGTATCCAGCAGAAGTTGTTTACTGAAACATTTCGTGAAATGCTGCAGCTTGTGAGCAAGCCTTAACATCACCGGACAAGCAAGGAAGGCTCCCTAATTTTACAATTTTTTCTTATTTGTTATGGGAGAAAGTCTCCGATAATTACAAAGCGACGGCGTTACCTCTTGAAAATTGTAAAAAGAGTCCTGAAAAGGGAGTAGACTGATTCGTGTTTGGATGTGGCTAGTATTTATGTTACCAACTTGATGCACCAACTCCAAGATAACCGGCTAGTTAATTAATAATGGCCAGTACCAAGACCCTGTATGGTACTTTGCATTTAAACATTTGAGGCTTCTACCTAATCGCACAATATTACTTTGATACGGGTTAACCTACTCAAATGGTCATCTTTTCATGACTCTTATCTTAGTCTACGATGGCCAGGATATTTCGTCTTGAGTATATACGCTACGTTGGAAATACAATACACAAGAAATAGAAAACATTTCCGCGTTTCTGTCGAGTTACAGAAGCACAAGTGGAAGTTTGGGAGAAAGAGGAGAAAGAGAAATGCTGTGGGATCACGAACCCTGGTAGAGTGTTTCCACAGCTTTTTCGAGTTCTCCCAAACTTCCACGAGTGCTTCGTTAACCTGATAGAAGCACGGAGGAAACACGACCTATTTCTTTTGGAAAACACGGAGAAAAGAAGAAGGAAAAATCACTTAAATATTTCAACTATCAAAATATAAACTCTCCTCTCATCAAGGCTTAGAAGCAGCAATGCAGTCCACTGTCTTCGAGACGGTTTCATTCTTAGGTCGATCTTAAAGCGACTGCTGTTGAAATGACAGAAGATAAGATTTGTTGATTTGCCTACGCACCTTTTAATGGTCATCCAAATAAGATGAACTTATCAGAATTAAGGGCACACGCGCATATTGAAAGTCAGACCTTCAAGCTTTCAGGCCACTTTATAAATATCTTATGTCGTTAAAATTCAATACTTCCTAAATGAATCTTGTTCTGAACGAATTGATTTATTGTAACTACATTTATAATTTATTATGCTTTTATAACACTTGTTATCCGTTTGTCTAGATATATTTCTTTTAATCTACAACTGTACATTTTATAAACAGCACTTAGAGAATGGACGCCGAGAAAAAAGAAGCAAAAAATAGTGCCAAGATAACTAATGCAGTGTTGTTGACTAGGACTGTCTAAAAGCTTTTGTTCTTCAGGAGAACTTTTTCTGTCAAAGTATATTTGACTTGTAATCAGATCTATCTTAGGTAGCACCATGACATAATGCAAACAAATGTCTTCATAGCAGGCACGTAATTTAAAGCTTGCGTGCATGCATGTCCTCTGTTTTTTGTTTTTTTCTTTTTTAAGTTCGTTTGGTATAATCGGTCTTAATTTCTCTCAGGATCATAATCTCTTGTTTCTCTATAATCTTCACTCTCTTCGCCTCATGACCTTTTCGGTGTTTTTGTACATTCATTGACTGAGCAATTCAGCGTGCTTAGGTTTCCAACATTCTAAAAATAATTCTGTATTTCATGATGATGACAAATCTTCTTTTAAGTCTGCCTGCTAATTGATATCAAACTTCACTTATCCATCAGTTTGATGTACTTAAGTGTGTATAATTTGATGTAAATCAGTGACATTCTTCATTTGATAGGCTTTTAGTTGCCTTTAAGTACGGGAAGAAGATCCGTTTTGAGTTTACATGAGCTTTAACCCTCTTTCTCTTCGGCGCCTTAGTTGCTGCCAAGAGTATGTGTAGTAAATAAGCAATTAGTTCTTTCTCTAGCAACTGAATAAACTCATGGGAATAGACAAAATTAATCCAACGTTTTCAAGAATAAATATGAAATAAATATATCTACGGTCATTGTTGATAAACGGCCATTCGCATGTTCAGTGTGTTTAAAAATGGTTGCTTGTCGGCTATCGTTCATTGCGGTAGGCAGTTGTACAATGGGATTTGTTTTTGTTCAACGTGATTGCCCGTTCTTTTAACACCAGCACACTTGCAATATCACTATTTGAATATCATCCAACTCGATTACCTCATATCTTTCAATGAGGCAGTTATTTTTGCTTTTGGACTGTTCATATCATGCATTCTCTCTAGCTATCCTTCACAAGAAAAAAAAGTTTTCGTTATTTGAATGTTCGTCCAATACGATTGCGCCTTCTATTTTTCAATAGAAGCGAAGCTCTCCTCCAATAAGATTGCTCGTTCTATCTTGCTCCACGAAGAATCGTGTTGCTATTATCCAATACCATCTTTCGTTCTATCGTTCAACAGGAGTGATTTTATTGGTTTTTCTATTGAGCTCCAACTCCGATGGTCCTTGTTTGTTCGAATTGTTTTCGCTCGTGCTCGTTTGAGGTGGGCTTCCAAATTTGAAGAAAAGCCAGGCTTGTTTCTTCATCTTTTTCAGCTTCTTGTCCCAAACCACTCTTATCTGAGAGAAAATAAAGAGGATAATAACTTAGAATTGGAAATACTCGCTTGAATTTTAAGACAAAATCAGATACGAAATCGGGTAATTTCAGGTTTAAGTGGACAAAAACCTTGCACCAGAATAATTTTAAGTTTATTACAATCTTTTTTGCATTTTTGAAAAGCTAAAGACATAAATAGTTGCCTGAAGTAACCACCAAAAAAAATTCCCATAGGAACTCGAGGAAATAAATTTCAAAGTTCAGAGAAATTGCGCAAATACAGGTGAAATTTCATCATCAGTTTCATATGAACTTCAAACTTTGTCTTATACATTTGGTGTTGTTAGAAATGATTTCCTTTTAATAACTTATTTAAAACAGTCACACAGAAGTTTGCAATGCGATGTACATAATCTTGGAACAAAGCGTTTGCTCACTTGTTACTCCAATTTCTGGTGGATTCCCTCTTAATTCGCAATGTAATAAAAAGGAACCTTGGACTTTGATGGGCTATGCAATTTTAGAATATACCCTGTTCACAGAATTTATCTTAAGCTTTTAAAAATCCAATAGCTGTGAACCAACTTTGAGATCACGTGACAGAGACTGTGGTAATCATCTTCACCACGTATACGAACTTTAATTTCTTGTAACTGACGTTTGAAACAGTTTGTTTCCAAAATGTAGAGTAAAAAAAAAAGGATTCTTTCAATAACATTTTCATGCAAAATGGGCAAAAAATTAAAAGAGTTCAAACCCTTAAAGATAGCTGACACACTTAAACAAAAAAGGATGGCATGTCGAAAAACACTGCATAAAGTATATGTAGCAAAGCATCAGAAGTACTTGTGTCCAATTGATTAAAAGATTAGTATGTTTTCTAATTTTATTTTACTGGAGTTATTGTTGAACAAAATAATTAGAAAAGAAACTTTTCTGTGTACTTCTCGGCTGATTTGACTGATAAACTGGTAATCTGAAGGAATAATCAATAAAGATCTTACCTCAGTATTTCTTGCACAGTGAAAAACAAAGATCAGTAATCCCTGGAAAGAAAGTAAATTTTTCAATGAAAACGTTTAAAAAGTACAAAAACACTCTCTAAAGTAGACACACTGGTTGTCTTTATGACATCACTTCTTGTGTACCCTCCACGTTCTAAATCTCTCTAAGAAGCGTCTTTTTGAAGTTAATGATTTCCTCAAAATCTGTATTTTTCCCACCGTACGGTTAGTTACAAATCGTAACTTTTAAATGGTCTGAAATTAAGAAATTACGATAAACTATTCTGTTATAATGAGGAAACAGTTTTGTTCCTGGAAATTTTTCCTTCATTCCTGTGTGCGTGCACGCATAACAAATTCAAATTGTTAACTAATTAATTATCTTTGTTCAGAACGATCAGGTCAAAACAGTATAATTATCATTAATTATAATTAATTTCTATTTCTCACAATGATTGTTTAGACCCTCAGCCATAATTGATCTTACGAATTTCAAATTGAACACTCATGGGACTCAAACATATAACAATAGTGTTATTGACCTCTTTAGCTCGGTCCGTACCATGCGCTATTTGCTATTAACTTTTTTCTCTATCTTTTTGCTCCAAATTTTGCGCCTGGGCTATAAGGAAAGGGGGAATAAAACGACAGTCACCTTACGGTATATACCTTGCACCTGTTCTAAAATAGGTACATGTAATGTACTTGCGCACCTGTAAGGAGTTGAGTACAGTGAAGACATACTGGGACACGACACCAGCTCTTGCCATACTCAGCAAACCAAATAGCCATGTAATCCCCAGTAAAGGAAACAAGACAATGCAGGCTTTAACTGCTGCTCTAAAATGTGGATTAACAACAATGAACAATAACAATTACCTGTGTTAACAAACGCTGCAAAATCAATCGATATTTCTTAGTTATTAAAATTTTAGAAGGATCCGCCAGAAAGCGGACAAAAACGTTGTACCGAGATTATTTACATTGCTTCGCAAACTTCGGTGCCGAAAACAAATTTTGAAGTGCATTTGAAACACTTAAAAGTATTGGTGAAATAAAACTGATAATGAAATTGTATCTTTTTGGCACAATTGCTCTGAACTTTGAAATTTATTTTCTCGCGTTTCCATGGGAAATTGTTTGCGGCGTTATTTCAGACAACTATTTATATCTTTAACTTGAATAAAATGAAAAAGGACTATAAAATACCTAAAATTATTCTGGTGCAAGGATTTTATCCACTAAAAACTAAAATTGCTCGATTTCCTATCGGATCTCGTCTTCAGTAATTTAATCAATCTTAAATCATAAAATAAATATTTCGCACTCACTTGACCTTGTTCAGTTTACTTGACTGCATGCTGGTCATGTTTACCATTTCCTTCACAACAATACAAAATACCACCACGTTTACCTTTAGAGAAAGAACGGTATTGTATTAGAGAATAAAGTCTCATTCATGTTGTGTTTAGAGAAGTCTATGCTATTACTAAGGCCCCCTCCATACTACTCCGGAGAAATTAAAAGACGCACCAATCAGCGGTCATTTTGGATTTGTGTTTGAGGGAACCTCGGGCAGGGAAATCACATGATTCTCGTGACGTCATCGTTTTCAAAAAGCTTCGTTTTGAGAATGTTTTTCTTCCACACTAAAATGAAAAGCCGGCGTTTTCAAATTCCTCTAATTTGGAGAGAAAACTTAGAGAAGAGCCCAAGAACTTAAACGCCTTCACCAAGCTGGATTAAAGTAGTTTTACTTCGTCACCATGTTGGGGAACTAACCCAGTCCTCCAACTTCTGTTGTCTGCTACACTGACGAAAAGTTAAGGTACAGTGCAAACTATATGAGTCTCAATTTTCTCGACGCTGTAGAAAGAAAATCTCTGGACCCAGTGTAGGTGGCTTGAAGGTAAGCCAATATTCGGCCTATATATATATATTTGCTTCGTATATAGCCTGGAATTATATAAGTATATAAGCCAATGAGCTGAGCATGCAATATGTTACATATATACTTACAGCAGATATTATTATGACTGGTCCGGCAAAAGACCATATGTAATACCTTTCTGTTGACAGCCAGCACCTGGAACAAAAATGAAAAAATAGTTTCCTTTTTTTGTTTTTGTTTGGATGGTGTTCATGTAGAGAAATAACTCTTACCAACTGCTGGCTGTATATTGATGTATTCCCTCGCTTCGCAAGTGTGCAATTATCAATGTTCCTCCTACAACAAGACCTGGCAATCCTGCAAAACAACAAGTGACTCAAAATACAGCCGGAATATCCTATTAGAATTCGGCCTTTTTTCTAAGCAAGACTTGAATACTTAATTCGCGTGCACATTCTTGAATTCTCCAGAGGTGTACGTCACGTATGGCGTGCACCTTGAATACACCAGCACTCTTTGTGGTCGCCGATTGCAAATTCAAGGCTTGAACGGTTTAGGATATTTTCGCGTTGGCGTAGTGTTGACTTCTACTATTTCGCTGGTTTTGTTTAATTTTAGTGATTATGAACATAAAAGAAGCTGACTCACCAAGTGAAAAGCCGTAACACAAAGGTAGCTTGAGTTCAGTGTTGTAGACTTCAATGATTAACAGATAAAGCATAATGCCTTCCATCAGCATCCAACAGAATGATGAGAGATAAAAGTAATGGATGAGAGCTGCAACAGTTAGGCAAAGAACCTGATTGAAAAACAAGAATGCATGTTAAAGAGAGAATGAAGTTCAGAACGTTAATCCCCCATATTATGAAGACAGAGCGATTGAAATTCAGTCAACTGCAATTATTACATCCGTGCGAGGCTAAAACTGCAAATTGAAAGAGTATTATGTTGTTTATTATATGGCTGAGAAAATTACCTCTTTTTGATTGGCCGAGAGCAGGCCAATTTATCGTTAATTCTCAATTTGCACTACAATACAAATTAACTCGCACGCGTTGCAATTTTCTCAGTCATATAATAAATGAGTAATCGTATGAAAGCTCGAGCAATTAAGGATTTACACTACTCGTGGTATTTGGAAATTCTTTCAAACGGCACTTACCTAAAGGTTCGTGGAATTTTGAGAGAATTTTCAGATGTCACTCGTAATGTAAATCGTTAATTGCATTCGCATTCATTACCTACACTTATGAGAAAGGCCCATTTTCACTTAGACATGGAAGGCAACAGCGGACCCTGAAAGAAGAAATCACCTGATTATGTGTAGCGTTGATTCCCGTCAAAAATATGATCTGTGCCATCGCCAGTGTGGCGACAAGGTTTATGTGAAGATGGCTTTGTTGGTCGGGACTTGAACATCTAAATATCGAAAAAATACATCTGTCAACATGGCAGTGTCATTTTACTCAAGACGTTACTGTAAAGTTTTAAACGAGATAATAAAACACATGTTGTCACACGACGCCCTGCATTAGCTTAAATGTGCCCGTTGAATAGCTTACTTATTTCTTAGCTATTCACTTATTTGTAAGCTTTTTATTGTATAAGATAGCCGTTTTACCCCATTTAATTTACTGTCACACAGTATGGCATTTTTGTAAAGCAAGTGACTCACGGAAGTTAGAAAGAGTGCAGGAAAGGGGTCTAAGAGCGATATTTTGTGACAAAACTTCGCCTTATGATCAACTTCTCAGCCAAGCTAAGCTACCATCTTTAAATAATAGAAGATTACAGGATATCGTCGATAAAAGTGCCATTTTTTGTCATTGACTTGTATATATATTTTAGCAAGACGTTTCGGCTAGCTCTTATCCTTCATCAGTTGAAAAACTTAAGAGTTAGCCGAAACGTCTCGCTAAAATAAACAAGTCAGTGACAAAAAAACGGCACTTTTATCGACTATGTCATCTCCTGATTACTTTTACTTAATTACAGCAGGGGCGTAGTCAGGATTTTGCAAAGGGGGGGTCACGCTGTGTCAAAGTGAAGGTACACACCAGATTGTCATGTCGTTTTCGTCACCTGTTGTAGGTTGTTCGCTTAAAAAAAAGGCTTACAAAAGGGGGGTTCACGGGCACCCCAGGACCCCCCTGGCTACGCCCCTGTACAGGATATCTCTTGTCTGATGTACAAAGTGAAAAACAACTTGTGCCCTAGCTATATCAGTGACCAATTGGAAATCAATACTTCTGTGCAGGATTTAAGAGTCATGGAATTCCGTGTGCCAAGATTTAAGACAGCGTTCTTCAGCAATCACTCATTAAAACACGTAGGCCCTACACTCTGGAGTAAAATCCGTCCGGATATAAGGAACTTGCCATCGCTAGATGCCTTAAGAGAGCCACGAGGAAAGTGCACTTAAATGGAGACCTTTTAAATAACAATTGCGCAAACTGTGCACTATGCTGTTCCTAAAAAATGTTATTTTAATTTTAATTATAGACTTACCATTAGGTCCATTTTATCACTACTTAATTTGTATTATAGATTCGCTTTATATAACTCTTTTAATTGTAGATTGTGTTCTCGGTTACTGGTGAACAGCTGCCAGTATTTGAATTAAATTATACTCACATTAGTAACAGGTACGCAATAATAGTAATAGTCTCTCCAAGTAACGAAATCCCTAGACCAATGTAAGTCATATAGCATAAGGCTTGCTTGTGTTTGTCTGAAAACTGTAATAGAGGAGAAAACAGATAAAAACGCATCAGTAGATGTCCTTACATGGCCGTGACAAAAGAATATCTTTTATGAATTACTCAGTGTGTATTTACAATAGCTTGTTGCTGGTTCTTGTAAGAGCGGTTTTTAATATCGTTTTCTTATTGAGAGTGATTCGTCCACACTACGCCGGGGATAAGCTCGAGCAGGGAAATCACATGATTAACGAGAAGCCATCGTTTTCGCGAAACTCCGAAACTCTGTTTTCGGTCCACAGTAAACTCAAGGCCGGCGTTTTGTTGACGGGGCGTAAGGCTGGATAAGCTTGGAAAAAAAAATAGAAAAATAGTTTTAATTGGTTCATTGGAATGTCTGTGACCTTTGTGATTGGCCAGAGTGAATACTTTGGGTTTGGTTTTACTTCACTTAGCAGAAGANAGTGTTATTGACCTCTTTAGCTCGGTCCGTACCATGCGCTATTTGCTATTAACTTTTTTCTCTATCTTTTTGCTCCAAATTTTGCGCCTGGGCTATAAGGAAAGGGGGAATAAAACGACAGTCACCTTACGGTATATACCTTGCACCTGTTCTAAAATAGGTACATGTAATGTACTTGCGCACCTGTAAGGAGTTGAGTACAGTGAAGACATACTGGGACACGACACCAGCTCTTGCCATACTCAGCAAACCAAATAGCCATGTAATCCCCAGTAAAGGAAACAAGACAATGCAGGCTTTAACTGCTGCTCTAAAATGTGGATTAACAACAATGAACAATAACAATTACCTGTGTTAACAAACGCTGCAAAATCAATCGATATTTCTTAGTTATTAAAATTTTAGAAGGATCCGCCAGAAAGCGGACAAAAACTTTGTACCGAGATTATTTACATTGCTTCGCAAACTTCGGTGCCGAAAACAAATTTTGAAGTGCATTTGAAACACTTAAAAGTATTGGTGAAATAAAACTGATAATGAAATTGTATCTTTTTGGCACAATTGCTCTGAACTTTGAAATTTATTTTCTCGCGTTTCCATGGGAAATTGTTTGCGGCGTTATTTCAGACAACTATTTATATCTTTAACTTGAATAAAATGAAAAAGGACTATAAAATACCTAAAATTATTCTGGTGCAAGGATTTTATCCACTAAAAACTAAAATTGCTCGATTTCCTATCGGATCTCGTCTTCAGTAATTTAATCAATCTTAAATCATAAAATAAATATTTCGCACTCACTTGACCTTGTTCAGTTTACTTGACTGCATGCTGGTCATGTTTACCATTTCCTTCACAACAATACAAAATACCACCACGTTTACCTTTAGAGAAAGAACGGTATTGTATTAGAGAATAAAGTCTCATTCATGTTGTGTTTAGAGAAGTCTATGCTATTACTAAGGCCCCCTCCATACTACTCCGGAGAAATTAAAAGACGCACCAATCAGCGGTCATTTTGGATTTGTGTTTGAGGGAACCTCGGGCAGGGAAATCACATGATTCTCGTGACGTCATCGTTTTCAAAAAGCTTCGTTTTGAGAATGTTTTTCTTCCACACTAAAATGAAAAGCCGGCGTTTTCAAATTCCTCTAATTTGGAGAGAAAACTTAGAGAAGAGCCCAAGAACTTAAACGCCTTCACCAAGCTGGATTAAAGTAGTTTTACTTCGTCACCATGTTGGGGAACTAACCCAGTCCTCCAACTTCTGTTGTCTGCTGCACTGACGAAAAGTTAAGGTACAGTGCAAACTATATGAGTCTCAATTTTCTCGACGCTGTAGAAAGAAAATCTCTGGACCCAGTGTAGGTGGCTTGAAGGTAAGCCAATATTCGGCCTATATATATATATTTGCTTCGTATATAGCCTGGAATTATATAAGTATATAAGCCAATGAGCTGAGCATGCAATATGTTACATATATACTTACAGCAGATATTATTATGACTGGTCCGGCAAAAGACCATATGTAATACCTTTCTGTTGACAGCCAGCACCTGGAACAAAAATGAAAAAATAGTTTCCTTTTTTTGTTTTTGTTTGGATGGTGTTCATGTAGAGAAATAACTCTTACCAACTGCTGGCTGTATATTGATGTATTCCCTCGCTTCGCAAGTGTGCAATTATCAATGTTCCTCCTACAACAAGACCTGGCAATCCTGCAAAACAACAAGTGACTCAAAATACAGCCGGAATATCCTATTAGAATTCGGCCTTTTTTCTAAGCAAGACTTGAATACTTAATTCGCGTGCACATTCTTGAATTCTCCAGAGGTGTACGTCACGTATGGCGTGCACCTTGAATACACCAGCACTCTTTGTGGTCGCCGATTGCAAATTCAAGGCTTGAACGGTTTAGGATATTTTCGCGTTGGCGTAGTGTTGACTTCTACTATTTCGCTGGTTTTGTTTAATTTTAGTGATTATGAACATAAAAGAAGCTGACTCACCAAGTGAAAAGCCGTAACACAAAGGTAGCTTGAGTTCAGTGTTGTAGACTTCAATGATTAACAGATAAAGCATAATGCCTTCCATCAGCATCCAACAGAATGATGAGAGATAAAAGTAATGGATGAGAGCTGCAACAGTTAGGCAAAGAACCTGATTGAAAAACAAGAATGCATGTTAAAGAGAGAATGAAGTTCAGAACGTTAATCCCCCATATTATGAAGACAGAGCGATTGAAATTCAGTCAACTGCAATTATTACATCCGTGCGAGGCTAAAACTGCAAATTGAAAGAGTATTATGTTGTTTATTATATGGCTGAGAAAATTACCTCTTTTTGATTGGCCGAGAGCAGGCCAATTTATCGTTAATTCTCAATTTGCACTACAATACAAATTAACTCGCACGCGTTGCAATTTTCTCAGTCATATAATAAATGAGTAATCGTATGAAAGCTCGAGCAATTAAGGATTTACACTACTCGTGGTATTTGGAAATTCTTTCAAACGGCACTTACCTAAAGGTTCGTGGAATTTTGAGAGAATTTTCAGATGTCACTCGTAATGTAAATCGTTAATTGCATTCGCATTCATTACCTACACTTATGAGAAAGGCCCATTTTCACTTAGACATGGAAGGCAACAGCGGACCCTGAAAGAAGAAATCACCTGATTATGTGTAGCGTTGATTCCCGTCAAAAATATGATCTGTGCCATCGCCAGTGTGGCGACAAGGTTTATGTGAAGATGGCTTTGTTGGTCGGGACTTGAACATCTAAATATCGAAAAAATACATCTGTCAACATGGCAGTGTCATTTTACTCAAGACGTTACTGTAAAGTTTTAAACGAGATAATAAAACACATGTTGTCACACGACGCCCTGCATTAGCTTAAATGTGCCCGTTGAATAGCTTACTTATTTCTTAGCTATTCACTTATTTGTAAGCTTTTTATTGTATAAGATAGCCGTTTTACCCCATTTAATTTACTGTCACACAGTATGGCATTTTTGTAAAGCAAGTGACTCACGGAAGTTAGAAAGAGTGCAGGAAAGGGGTCTAAGAGCGATATTTTGTGACAAAACTTCGCCTTATGATCAACTTCTCAGCCAAGCTAAGCTACCATCTTTAAATAATAGAAGATTACAGGATATCGTCGATAAAAGTGCCATTTTTTGTCATTGACTTGTATATATATTTTAGCAAGACGTTTCGGCTAGCTCTTATCCTTCATCAGTTGAAAAACTTAAGAGTTAGCCAAAACGTCTCGCTAAAATAAACAAGTCAATGACAAAAAAACGGCACTTTTATCGACTATGTCATCTCCTGATTACTTTTACATAATTACAGCAGGGGCGTAGTCAGGATTTTGCAAAGGGGGGGTCACGCTGTGTCAAAGTGAAGGTACACACCAGATTGTCATGTCGTTTTCGTCACCTGTTGTAGGTTGTTCGCTTAAAAAAAAGGCTTACAAAAGGGGGGTTCACGGGCACCCCAGGACCCCCCTGGCTACGCCCCTGTACAGGATATCTCTTGTCTGATGTACAAAGTGAAAAACAACTTGTGCCCTAGCTATATCAGTGACCAATTGGAAATCAATACTTCTGTGCAGGATTTAAGAGTCATGGAATTCCGTGTGCCAAGATTTAAGACAGCGTTCTTCAGCAATCACTCATTAAAACACGTAGGCCCTACACTCTGGAGTAAAATCCGTCCGGATATAAGGAACTTGCCATCGCTAGATGCCTTAAGAGAGCCACGAGGAAAGTGCACTTAAATGGAGACCTTTTAAATAACAATTGCGCAAACTGTGCACTATGCTGTTCCTAAAAAATGTTATTTTAATTTTAATTATAGACTTACCATTAGGTCCATTTTATCACTACTTAATTTGTATTATAGATTCGCTTTATATAACTCTTTTAATTGTAGATTGTGTTCTCGGTTACTGGTGAACAGCTGCCAGTATTTGAATTAAATTATACTCACATTAGTAACAGGTACGCAATAATAGTAATAGTCTCTCCAAGTAACGAAATCCCTAGACCAATGTAAGTCATATAGCATAAGGCTTGCTTGTGTTTGTCTGAAAACTGTAATAGAGGAGAAAACAGATAAAAACGCATCAGTAGATGTCCTTACATGGCCGTGACAAAAGAATATCTTTTATGAATTACTCAGTGTGTATTTACAATAGCTTGTTGCTGGTTCTTGTAAGAGCGGTTTTTAATATCGTTTTCTTATTGAGAGTGATTCGTCCACACTACGCCGGGGATAAGCTCGAGCAGGGAAATCACATGATTAACGAGAAGCCATCGTTTTCGCGAAACTCCGAAACTCTGTTTTCGGTCCACAGTAAACTCAAGGCCGGCGTTTTGTTGACGGGGCGTAAGGCTGGATAAGCTTGGAAAAAAAAATAGAAAAATAGTTTTAATTGGTTCATTGGAATGTCTGTGACCTTTGTGATTGGCCAGAGTGAATACTTTGGGTTTGGTTTTACTTCACTTAGCAGAAGATCATTCTAATCGTAACCTTTGGGAATCGACTACAACTAGACACTAGTCGCAGGTATTATTTGTGACCCATGTCAAAGTGTCGACCTAAGTCGTCGGAGTACACGTGTGTCGAAGCATAACTGAATGTTCGAACAAGGAGGAGCGAAACAACTCTCGATGGATTCTTAGCTATAATATTGTATGATATGTAACTCTAAAACTATAAGTTATTAAACATCCACGGACAAGATAAATGTTTTCAAACTGTTTGCCAAAGAAATCCGAGTGAAGGCACACATAAATTTGAGCATGGGCTTTGGAGCACGGATGCTACATGATTGAATCCAAAACAAAAACTGGCTCATATGTTGAAAACCACTTTTCCCCGTTACCGAGCAGCGAACTCAGGAGTAATGCCAAAAAAAGATATGCAGATCTGTACCGTAAGTCGATTTCGGTTCCAGCCTGTTACATATTCATGACACAGACGCCATTTTGAGTCTACATTCCAACCACGCTGTTTAATGCCATTGGTTAAACAATAACTCAACACATGCACAACTATGCATAATGGTCCGCGGTATTCTCATATATAACACAGCCTGAATTAAAGAGGAAAACACGTATCAACTCGTAGATTTACTCAAGATTTCCAAGAGCTGACAGGCCCAGGAAAAATAAAATTCACACAAGGCTAGTAACATTTCAAAAGCTACCCACAGTGCATTCCACAGAAAACATACCTTGTGCTGTTTGATGTTCATAAGAATGGCGAAATTCGTCAAATGATTGCACGTGCAGACCACGTGACTTTCATTTGACTCCACCAAGGAACAGCCATCGCCAGACCAACTTCCATTTGCTCTACAATGCAATAACAGTTATTTTTGTGTTATGTTTCTTGAGCCAGTTGTTCGAGGGGTGGATAACGCTATCCGCGGGATAAATCGTTATCCAGTGGATAAGTGTTAATAAAACAAATTTCCCTATCCACTGGATTGCGATTTATCCGGCGAATAGCTTTATACACCCTTTGAACAACTGGAGCCTGGTCGAGGTTGTTCGAAAGGTGGATAACGGTATCCACCGAATAAATTGCTATCCAGGGACTACGCGTGTTATCCACCTTTCGAACAACCCGGGTCTGGTTTTTAGAGTCATTTTATAGTAGGTTAGTTCTTTTTAACTCAGAAAGGAAACAAAAAGTGTTAAAAAATGGACATTTTCCCCGTAGTAAGAAAAAACTGTTTGCAAACATGTTATAGTGTTATTTTAATCTTTTTTTGGCCAGCTTCAAAACGAAACGGCTACGCTGTTTCCAGTGATCAAACACAAATAAAGGTGAAAGGCCAGGAAATTGCAAAATAAAAGTAAATTAATTGATTATAGAGATATCTTACGGGTATGAAAAATTCCACTTCCAGAAAACGCACTTTTCTCTTCCTCTGCTTTCATATTCCTAGAAAAAAAAAGAGAACTTGTTTAGTTAAAAATGGTAGAGTAGGAGGGAAATAAAAACATCGAGAAGTGATAATTAATTTACCTCCAGAATACGAAGAATTATTGTCACATTTTCTGTAAAAATTTCTCGTTTAGATGGTCTAACATCACTTCCCAGGATCATGGAATCAATTTTGCTGTTCCTATGAAATAAAACGATTTACTGAATATGAAAATTGTTATTATACATCGTGAACTTTTGTGTGCAAAGTGGAACGTCCAAAACGATCACGTGATATATCTCTTCGGAATAATTGTCAAGTGATATATCATTCTGTCCTAACACAGAAACACGTGCATATGGCCCGGCATGCCCATTCTCGTGTTCAAGTGCTTTGAAGCAATAATTACCACAAGAATCTTTACTAAGCCAATGAATGGAAACTGAAAGCTTATCATATCACCCAACCAACTAACATCCAACCAACTAATTAATTACCAACCAGCTGTCAACCAATAAAACAAAACAAAGATACAGCAACCGATAACGATCAAACAGGAGATAGACAGGTAGACCGGCAGACAGACTGACGGACAGACAGATAAACAGGGAGACAGACAGACAGATAGTCAGACCGACCGACCTACCGATCGACCTACCGACCGACAGAAAGACACTAAAAGTAAAACTAAAAGTAAATTTATTGACAAAATTACCTAGATTCCGGGTTGGCAGCCATTTTGTGGAGATCTCGATACAGTGCGTTGACTACTACACTATCTGAAAATGAGACAACGGTAGAGATTATATTACAAAATATAATTAAAACAATGATACGAAAACTGATTCACCAGCCCAAATGGTTTAACATACGATCAATATTTCGAATATTTTTCTGGTAAAATACACTGAAGTTTAGTCATCAATAAAACGAAAAACGATTTGGCTATAGTTTATGTTATCAATAAGAAAGGCTATTATCCGTCAAACTCCCGTTCTTGGTGTGCATGGTCTACTGGATAATTATTCACATAATTTAACGCTAATTATTCATAGATATTAGCATAATTACCCTGTTCTTGAAACAAATACGGTGGCAAAGTTATCCTCGCTACCTCCTCGGTACCTTCCTGTCCAGTAAATGAAAACTTTCTGGTATAACCCTTTGGCAGCAACGACACTTGTAAGACTACAATGAGGTAAAAAACAAAAATGGTTGTGGTGAGTAGCTACGTTTTAGATATCCATGACTCAGCCATCGCAAAATACGCAGTAATTGAACCGTAGCACAGACTTTGAAGAGGACGATTAACCTTTACACAGTTCTTGGTAAAGAGGAGATGCTAAACAAGCCTTTTAAAAGGTTCATTTTGAAGAACACCCACTAGAAACTGAATCAAAGTCAACCATATTGTACGAGAACTTTGCCAGAAAGCCAGATGTAAAACTGCTCAAAATAGGTCCCAGTGGGGAAAGGGGTGGACGGGGGTGGCGCATCTTTCTTGCTCTTGAAGCGTTGGCCGAGTTGACCTCCCCCAACGCACTGTCCATATAAGGAGCTATAAGGTCTGTACCTCTCGTAATGGTTCTTGTAATTCGTTTTCCACTCTTAACTTCAATAATATTCAGGCAATGATTATGAAACTTAGAGATGACGTTCTGAACATTTTTCTTTTGACATAAACAACATGCCAAGATGACTTCATACCAAGTGGTAACACGTCATGATATACTAACAGCCATTTTGGATCGGCCATCTTAGCTTTCTCGATTTTTCCAAAAGGTCAGAAAACGACCAAAAAAGGACTCAAAAGTAGTCAATAAGACAATATAACTCCTCGCCGTTCCACGATAACGCCTCGAGTGAATAACTTCAAAGAGGACGTTTTACGTAATTGCTGGTATATACAAAAACATTGAATTTACAGATAGTTTAGTTTTTTTACCAATATGTTTGTTTTCCTTTCTCTCCTCACTGTTTGATGCATTCAAATTGAAAGACGCGTACTGAAATGCAAACTCNTAATTATTCATAGATATTAGCATAATTACCCTGTTCTTGAAACAAATACGGTGGCAAAGTTATCCTCGCTACCTCCTCGGTACCTTCCTGTCCAGTAAATGAAAACTTTCTGGTATAACCCTTTGGCAGCAACGACACTTGTAAGACTACAATGAGGTAAAAAACAAAAATGGTTGTGGTGAGTAGCTACGTTTTAGATATCCATGACTCAGCCATCGCAAAATACGCAGTAATTGAACCGTAGCACAGACTTTGAAGAGGATAATTAACCTTTACACAGTTCTTGGTAAAGAGGAGATGCTAAACAAGCCTTTTAAAAGATTCATTTTGAAGAACACCCTCTAGAAACTGAATCAAAGTCAAGCATATTGTACGAGAACTTTGCCAGAAAGCCAGATGTAAAATTGCTCAAAATAGGTCCCAGTGGGGAAAGGGGTGGACGGGGGTGGCGCACCTTTCTTGCTCTTGAAGCGTTGGCCGAGTTGATCTCCCCCAACACACTGTCCATATAAGGAGCTATAAGGTCTCTGTACCTCTCGTAATGGTTCTTGTAATTCGTTTTCCGCTCTCAACTTCAATAATATTCAGGCAATGATTATGAAACTTAGAGATGACGTTCTGGACATTTTTCTTTTGACATAAACAACATGCTAAGATGACTTCATATCACGTGGTAACACGTCATGATATAAGATAACAGCCATTTTGGATCGGCCATCTTGGCTTTCTCGATTTTTCCAAAAGGTCAGAAAACCACCAAAAAATGACTCAAAAGTAGTCAATGAGACAGTATAACTCCTCGCCGTTCCACGATAACGCCTCAAGTGAATAACTTCAAAGAGGACGTTTTACGTAATTGCTGATATATACAAAAACATTGAATTTACAGATAGTTTAGTTTTTTTACCAATATGTTTGTTTTCCTTTCTCTCCTCACTGTTTGATGCATTCAAATTGAAAGACGCGTACTGAAATGCAAACTCTTCGATGGTTTGAGTGGACTGAATTAAGTTGACGCCATTCCGTAGTTTGCTCGTTGATTGTACAGAAGTTGCGAGCACTTCAAAGGCGTCTGTGGCAACCTGCATATTGAAAATATAAAAATTACAATAAAATAATAAAAATAAACCGAGAACTCTTTATATCATTTAGTGTTTTCACTTTCTTCAGGGCTTACTGCATGTAGTCCAGGAGGATAGAAGATTGTGCGAATATGGTTTTACAGCATAATGTAAAAGACAAAATGCACAGACTACATGTTGTAACATGAAAGATTCGCCTAAAGTTTTTTTATGCACTTTAGCACTTAAGAGTCTTTAAATGCAAAACTCCTTTCAAATAGAAGCTAATATTGTTGTAATATAAATTTAAACTCTTCCTGATTAAAAACCCTCTAAAAAAACCCCTAAAATGACTTTGAGCAAAAATGACTCTTAAGTTTATTTTGTTATGGCATCAACGTACATTGAAAGCTAAATTACGTAAGCTTTCTTACCTTTAATGACAATGGATCTTTCGGATCTAGAGCATTCATGAAATTAGAAAACTCTAACAGCTGTCAAAAAAAAAAAAAAAAATCAGACGAACCAAAAAGGCATTAGCAGTTGCACTGTACTGGCGAGCGAATGATATACAACAGGGTGAGCATTTGTTAACAAATTAAACTTTATCGAAGGAACCATGGCAACAGAAAATGCAGAGGTAAATAAACAAACAAGCAAACATACAAATGAAATAATGAGTTTAATTAACCAGGTAAGAAATCTAGCTAATTTACCATGTCGATTTCAAGTTATAAAAGGAACCAACTCGAGAAAAATACATCTAGCTTATTGTATTGAGAGAGGGATAAGGAAAAGAGAGGATAAGGATAAGAGAGTTAATGTTGTTCTCAAGGTTATGCTTCTCAAATTACGTTCAGATACTTTATCTAGTCCTCCCACAGATAAAGTTACCCGAATGCGTTACGTAGATTTTTTCGTGTAGGATGAAAATGTGTGTTAAGCGGCCTACGCTGCCCGTGTGAGTAAATTCCTGTCACGGGATTGGCTATTCCTAGACCAAGCTGGGATTAATTGTGTCGGGAGTAATCTAAAAATAACTCGAAAGGGATTAATTTTATGGAGAATTAAGATAACTCTCTTATTTATCCTCTCTTGTTTATCGATTAAACTTACTACGCTTACTCACCGGATTCGCCGCAGAATTTAGTGAATTCTCCGTGTTCAGCGAAATCTCAGAATTCGGTTCATTATGGGTGGTTGCTCTAACACTTGAAGATGTAGATGTAGAAGTCGCCATGATAGTTTCAACTTCAAATACCGTTGTTTCGTCCCTTCTTGGTCGTGTGCTAGAGACAGGAATCCCAGTGTCTGTGTTAATGCTAGAAGATGAGGCTACAGAAGTCGCCATATGTTGCCCATCTTCAGAGGTACTTGAACTTGGGTTATCTGTCGTAGCAGCAGCAAAAATCTCGCTGCTACGAGAATTCATATGCGTTGCCGACGCAGAAGGAGTCAGTGTCAGGGTTGTAGCTACCAAAAAAAAAATCCGGAGAACATGCGTTTGAAAGCTGTATCTGCTAAAAGGACATTAGGACTTTCGTACTCTTTCACAACTTGGTCGGGCAGACTTTCCAAAGCTAAGCTACGATTTATCTTCTTGTACGGCGGCTCTTAATACATGGCATCTCAAAATATATAACAGCATATCAGCATTGGTCTCGAACAAATATGATGTGGTAAAAACGTATTCACCTTCTTCTTCCCCTTTATTTTATTATTATTGTTCCCTTTATTGCTTCCATCCCCCCACCCCCGCCCCCCCGTAGTACGGGCGAGGGTTATTAAAACATAACACATGAATCTCCTTAATTTTATTAAAATTGGAAAAGAAAAAGAATTTTTAGCCAATCGGATCACGTCTTGTAACTGAACTGCAAAATAAATACCTTTTTGGGTAGACGGCTGACAAATGTAACCAGCACCGGGGTGTAGTCTTTTGTCACAAGCTTTTCTCTTAAAACACTGTGACTTGGACTTGACATGCTTAAGCAGAAAACACCAGTTCTCGCCATAGAAACTCCGTTTATTCTGAATGATATCGCAAGTAGTATTGATAGAGGTTGCATTGACAGTAGCCCCTGAACTCCATATGAAATGTCGACTGGATGCATTGAAGACAAGTCCAATCCAAAACTGGGCCGAATTCTTATATCCTTGTGATGTAAGACGTCTTGACAGCTCATCAAGTTTGTCCTGAGTATCGAGCACGGCCAAAATCGAACCATTCCCTTTGCAGTGCTCCAGAGCTTCAGCCCAGAAATGTATTTTTTGGTTATGTATGTAATACTCGTTAGCCTCCACACAGCTGGCTAGATCTGGAACAAACACACATGGAAGGTGTTGGAGAGTACCTCAAGTTACAAATGTTGCTGAAGGTTTGGGCTCACCTTTCTACCAACCAATTGTCTTTGTCATCATCTTCCGCTTCCCACCCCCCAACACAATCCAACCTAGGCGCATTATTTCAATACCGTGTCCAGGGGAGTATAGAGGTGTGTCCAAAAATTAGAATGCTGCAATGACTTTTTCGCTTCAAAGGACTTAAGAAGGAATCTACCGGACGTTGGAGTAACAAGCGTACAAAAGTTTTGTACCGAGATTATTTACATCGTATTGCAAACTTCTGTGCAACCGTCTTAAATATAAAAAAATTCATTTCTAATAACTCAAAATATTGAAAACAAATTTTGAACTTCGTATGAAACAGTTAAAAGCACTGGTGAAATGAGACTGATGATGAAATTTTATCTGTGTTTACATTATTTCCCTGAGCTTTGAAATTTTTTTTCCAAGTTCCCAGGGGAAATTGTTTTCGGTGTTATTTCAGGCAAATGTTTATTTCTTTAATTTTAAGAAAACGTAAAAAGGACTGTAAAATACCTAACATTATTCTGGTACAAGGTTTTTGTTCACTAAAAACTGAAATTGCTCGATTTTCTATCGGTATTCGTCTTAATTTGTCACTTTGAACGACGTTGGCCAGGACTGTAGTTTAGGTAGCGGCTTCTACTTTCCTTTGATCAATTACACGTTAAAATGTAGGCGCAAATGACGATGGCATTATAGCGGAGCTCCGGCAGCCCGAAGGGCCGCTAAGCGGAGCCCCATACTCATATAGGAAAGAAAAGAAAACCCATGAGTTGGTTTTCTCATGGTTATCATGACTAGCTGTATTGCTCATGGGCGCGTACGCACGACGGTGACGACGACGACGACAGAGTCGTGCAACATGGCGGCCATACTCCAAATAATAGGTTGACAGAGATATGCAGCCCTTATTTACCGTGTACTTCTTTGATATTGGATATCCATGTTACGATCAATTGACACCTGTCAAAACAAGGTATCCGCTAACCAGTATCACGTGACCATATCGCGGGCTCAAGTTTACAGCTCATCGAGGTCGTGTGTTTTTTGAAGTTGACCGCTGACCAAGTGCTGGTWTTCGATTGGATCGCGGGCTCATCTCAGGTTAACTTGTTGAAAACAGGGCAGGATTGTTCGGAAGCCGGTTAACGCTAACCCAGGATTAAAAGTTAACCGAATTATAACTTTTTCTTCTATACAAATGTTTTTTGCTGCTTCGTTTTGTGTATATAGTGATTATCAAAACTCAAAACAGAAGGCCAAACAACTTACAGAAAACCTCAGCGCAAAGTTAGAAAACTCAAATAAAAATTCTACCTTTTACTGGGTTATTTGGCTCGAACAACCCGGCCCAGGAGCTACGCTTTTAGGCTGGCGTAAATCTACATATTATATTGATGTAAAATAATGAAGAGGGAAATTCATTGTCAATTTTATTTGTAAAAGAAAAATAATTCTCAAGCCATCTTTTAATTGTCAGCGAGTCAACAATAGCAGAGACCAATCAGATTCGAGTTCTTCTGATGGAACACGCCGATTACCAACTAATACTAGAGATATTTTGAAAACGGACGCACTAAACGCCAATCAGAAAACTATAAAGCAGACGGCGACATATTCAGATTTGAAATTGGACTTGAAAATGTAGATTTTCAGTTTTTTTTTCTGATAATTGGTTCACATCCCATTATTGTTTCCTTTTCCATAACAACAGTAACTTGATAAACAGCGGAAGCTTCTACACAGCGAAACTGCATAACTAAACACAATAGACTTACGAACGGGCTTTTTTCCTTTCTTGTTTAGGTGCTTGTGCAGTGCTTGTTTGCAGAGTTAAGGGTGGTCTGTTCATTGGTTTAAATTGGGTGTTGCTGTAAATTTAGATACATAACACGAACTTTACCTAGTTAAGGTTACGTTGAATTTTTCAAACCGAAGTTTTCAGCACATATTGTTTATTAAAACAAAACTTTGGCTGTTCTATCGCAAACTTCAGATTCAAACAAAATGGGCGAAACTGCGTTTTATGTGCTGAAGAAAATTTTGAGTCAAGTTGGTTTTATTTAATCAATCATTGTCTACGTTCTTTTAACTCCTACGATAATTATCAAGCCGTCTCCTGCTACCTAAACGAAACAGTTTCAAGCTATTTAAAATGCTCAATAAAACAACCAAAGTTGAAGAGAGAAGAGTTTCGAACAAGATAAAATAAAATATGAAGGTAAGAAATATCTAGTATTTATTTACTTACGTGAGACGATTGCAAGTCCATACAGTGCCCACATTGTAGATCCCTGCTTCCAGTGCGAAAATCACCATGTGTTAATGAACTTATCTCACTTGATTTATCCAATCAGCAATAGATTCATCGTTAAGACTGGATGTGTTCCTGTTTGCTTCTATATTTATCATTATTTATCCTGTCATTTACGAAAAGTGACCTGGTCAACAGACAACAATAAAAATGCATAATTAGATAGAAAATGCTTAGAGAAGATTAAGAAGAAATATTGTTATCTAGGTAAACTTTATCAACTCAAAAGCTGTTCAAATAGTGTACCGTATAATGTAGCTGGTAAATCATGTGGTCTGCCTCTTTCAGTGTTCTCTAAGTATTATGCATTGAACTTTAATTGAATTTACTTTAATATATAAATTGAATTTTGTGGCGAGCTATTTTGACGCCAACATGCTGCTACGAGAACCCGACTTTGAAATATCAAATATATACCGAACAAAGGCTACGATTTCCTCTTTCGCGACGAACCAACGCCTCTTGAGATGATGAAAAACAACAATGCAAACTATAAAAAGCAATACAAACATGCAATCTATTTCCTCCATGTGGGCTGTTTTGAAAAAAAAATACATTGTAGTGCTTCTTAAGGACTAAGAAGTGGTTAGAGTTATACGTGAGCTGAATAAGTTACTTCTTTGTCATTAAAATGGAATATATTGTTCAGGGTAGGAGGCAGTGGAAGTGAATTAATCTCCCATCATTTTTGATTTAACCTTAGAAAGTCTCCCGCATGTGTTTTAAAACAATCGCACTTCGTTTATTGAAACGAATATGCCTGACGCTTTTTTTTGCTGTCTAACAACATATTACGAAAATGGTTCGTTCCCTCCAGTTCAGGTTTCATTTCATGTCCGGTAGACGAAAATCTCGAGATTAATTCTTGTTTTGACTCACGGATTATCTGCCCTCAAACGTGATTTACGAGGCGGTTGACAAATAATTATAATGGAGAAAAAACACTAAAAAAAGGAATAGAACACATTTGATGTTAGTAGTTCGAGGGACGATTCATACTTTCGTAGTTATATTCTCTCCTCCTGTGAGAAATTGCGGGAAAAATCAAACATTAAATATATATTATGCAAATAGACAAAAAATATTTCATGGTTGACTGAAAGGTAAATCAAATGGAGATTAAATTATTTACTCAAAATACTCTACTTTTTGAAATTGTTCGAATAATTTCAATTTCGTTCGCATATGGTCTAAATCGTCAGTTCGTTTTTGCTAAGTTTGTAAATTATTAGAACAAAGTCTCTTCTAAATTATTCAGTTACAAAATATTGCAATCTTGATTTTAAGGCACTTACTCACATACTATTAATACTAACATTTACATTCCTAAGGTGACAACCATCCTTTCCTCAGGAAAAGAAAAAAGAAAAAAAACGATAAAGTGTAGACATCACTTAAAATAAGCTTCGATATGACTATGATTTTTTTTGCCAAGCACTCAATTGTTTTACAGCTGTTTCCACATTGAAGTACTGCCAACTCAAATAATTACATTTACTTGATTTGAAATTTGATTTTAAAAATGTTTACTTCTCGTTGAGAAAAATATATATATATTTTTAATTTTTTCAGGTATAAACACCATTAACTATAATAATAATAATAATAATATTTAAAAAAAAAAACAACGACTGTGTGATGGCAGAAAAAAAAAAAGCTGTCTAGAACATGATTTCCTCGCGTGTAGCGCTTGTTTGAACGGAAAAGAAAATTATGTTCCACTTCTTCAATGACTTGGC